ATTGCATTGTGGTTCCGTCGCTTTGCTTTGCTCGCTTCAAAAGTAGAGCAATGTACGTGATCGGATCGGGACATCTCTAGTTGCCATGCCAGTACTTGAGTAATTTAACTTATCTCAATAAGCATTATGACTGTTAAATGCTTACACTTTTCAAATGTAATGAAAAACGTACCAAACCATGACCCGCAAAAAAGAAATACTTACCAAACCGTTAATTGTGCGTAGCGTTACACCCCTAACTTTCATGTATCTATTGAGTTCTTGTGTCCTTTGATGCAATGATTTTCTACCTGTAGGGCCTGGACGATCTGGATCTGGATAATTTTGACCTGGAAGACATCGACACCTCGGACATCAACCTGGACGAGGATTTGAGTGATTAGGAAAGAGGAATGGTCCAAACTTTATTTTTAATTCCTTCTCTCAGTGACCAAAGAACTCAAAGGGTTAAACGAGACCATAACAAGTGAGCGGCAGACTAACATGCCTTTAACCTTAAATAACAAGCATTGTGAACTGATATAGTGTAAGATGTTCTGCTTTCGGTAAAATTGTGGAACTCTAGGACTACATTTTTTAAGTATAACATCTCCAAGAACGCTGGTTTAACCTCAAATTAGGTGTGAGACCAAACCTAAGGAGTGTGCTAATCATGAAAAATGTGTAAGGGACTCAAATGGGAATTAGGGATAAGGGATGCATTGTCGCCGGTTAAAAATATCCAGCGCAGTCTGTTGATCTTTTTTACACTACACATTTTTCTATTTAAACAATACTGCAATAATCATGACAGCGTCTCAAAACACATATTTACGTATCATTGGTTTTTGAAATTTGCACCAGCATTAAAAGTAATAAATGTTACACGCTGTACTTCTTCTGCATACCTCAGGACACTTCTGTGGATCAGGGTGTTATCCAAGCCATCGAGGAAGTTTAAATACTGCCTTCATTCTTGAAGTAAAACTAAGTGTGGGTATTCAGAGCGTTATTTTTAGATTTATGTGTAATTTTGTAAATGGTTAAAAAGTATGCAATTTTGACAAATCCCCCATTTGGTTATATTCAGTGTGTTTATTACCTCTTGGTTCATGTTTACTTCTCACACCTTGTATCCACACGTACTGCTGCTGTTAGTTGATCAGATAAACTCCTAGAGATCTACAGTATGTTTGTTATAAGTGCCTTACATGTGTACTTTTTTAGAGGGTATTCTCACATTTTCTGTTTTTTTAAAAGATGGATGGTACTGTGTATGTATAGTTGACATTCGAATAAATAAGCTTCAATCAATAAAGTCTGCCGTCATCATTTAAGTTACTTAACCCTTAGATGCCCGAGTGACTGGACCCTACACTCTTCCATAAGTGGGTCAAAAAGGACCCGTATTAGAATGTGTTTTTATGCCATTTTGGTTAAAAATCACTTGTATATATATATATTATATTTTGGTTCACACTAGAAATATTTTGTATTTAATTTTTCACTATTTATAATTTTAGACTTTTACATTTTGAACACATTGATGCAAAGATCTCCGCTATTCTGAGACTCTCACAGTATTCCAGTCCCTTTTCAAAACTCATCTCTTCTCGTCTGTCTACTCATAGCCCACACCCCATCAATCCATGCTGGTTGATCAAGTTTGATAGTCCTATACCCCCCCCCACCTTCCTTATTTGGTTTAAGCATTTTGGAGTCCTTGAAAAGCCTAAAAATAATCTTCCTGAGAGGTGTCATGTGTGATGTAGTCTGTGTGGGTCCACAGTGAATGTATTCCTGACAGCAACGGGTGATAAGAATCAAAGTTCCCATAGGAAATGCATGCGGGTCATTTTTTTGAACCCACTTATGGAAGCTTGGGGTAGAATACAAAAACTTAAATTTCTTAAAATGTAAATTTATCATTTGAATTGATGGCATGATATCCAAACATGTTTGGGCGAATAGCGGAATATGAAATGATAAAAAAAATGTAATTACAAAGACAATTCAAGAAAACCACCGGGTCAAAAAGAACGCCACTTATCCTCTAAGGGGAAATATTATGCTTTTTGGGGTTTCCCCCCTTTCCTGTGAAGTGTTGGTCTGGTAACACTCACCGCTTCTATTGGCTAGTGCTACAACCATCTCTACGGTTGACCAATCAGAAGCAGACTGGGCTCTGGTTTCAGACAGAGGGTGAAAAGAGGTGCTGCAGCACAGGCAGTATGAGGAACAATAAAATAAAGAGCTTTTTTGTTTTTTTTGTCTATTTTTGTTTGTATTTTTTTTTTTTCAGTTTGTACTGTTTTTTTGTTTTTCTTTTTTTTTTTTTTTTTTTTAGCATTTTTTTTTGTTATTTGTTTTTTTTTTGAACTTCTAGAGCATGGAGGAATGTCGAGAGTAAGACACTGATATGAACCTGAGAATAATGGAACCACTTAGTACAAAGATCTTTAGTTTTTATTTACATCATTTTGACTCACCGAAACATTTCTTTCCATGTTAAATGACTAACTGCATCTTCATCAGTTTCAAAGCTAAGTCTTTAAGTCAAGGATCACATACTCCACTTCCCCACCACTTCAACCCCAACACTGAAAGCTGTGTTTGACTACGAAGATGCCATTTTCACGTGTCATCCCTCCGTCATGGTACCATCTCGTCATGAGGATGAATTTGTATATTTTCTATCTATCATAGTGGTCCAGTCCAGGCGCTGGCGCTCTTGGCAGGCCCCTGTTTCAATGAGCCTGCAGGGCCAGTTCGATGTAGCCCGACCTCTGAGACTGGCCTCTGGGTCATAAATCATGCAAGCACAAGGGTCCAGAGGTCAGCCGAGAGACGGAGAGAAAGTCAGGCCAAATACCTTTGAGCCTAAGTGTAACAGTAAGAGGTATAGCAACGAGTCCCTCTCTGAATAAACGACTAACTTTGTGATGAATAAATATAAGCAGCGGCTCGCCCCCCCAGTGGGGCGCCAAATAATTAGCAAAACGTGATTTGTGTGGAAAACATTTTTATTATTAAGATTAATTTAACCTCCTTCCTTTCTCAAAAGATCCTCCTTAGCAACGGTCATTAAGTCCTTGACAGCGGTCTGTTTCTAATGGATTAAACAACGTGTCACATGTTCTGAATCATGACCAATCAGAACTTTATTTGGCCACGCCTATCGTTTATGGTTGAATGTGGGGCCGCGAACATTTTTTAGATTTCTTAAGTGGGCTCCGAGTTGGAAAAAAGGTTGGGAACCTGCAATTAAAGTTTAAAGCTATTCTTCAGTATTAAAACCCCCCCTTTTAAAATCACATTGATAATGGAATTAGTGGGCAAATAAAATGAACGGTCAAGCGTGACTAAAGGAGAGGCGTTGCCGTGACAGCGACTTGAAGCGGACTTGTCTCCCTGCTGCTAAACCCTTCCATTAAATGGCTGTCATTCCCAATTCCACCCCCCCCCCCCTCCCCTCTGCTTTCAAGGCAGAGGGGCCATGGGCTCTAATAAGAGCTGATGTGTCCGGGGGTTGGCCCCGCAGTTCCCACGCCGGAGCAAACCCAAACCCTCTCGCGGAGGAAACTTAAGATGAGACGGCCCTTCACTCCGACCTCTCGAGCTTACACTGACTCCTGATTTACTCGGATGATCTGAGGGACACGATTAATGTGCCCGGGTCATTTCGGATCAAATGGCAACAACATAACCTGCAATCTTAAAGTAAAACACTCAAATCCAGCACCAGACACTTTTTTTTTTTACGCTGCTAATGGACAGTCTACACTTATAAGCTTTTGAATTTTCTTTGAATTTAATGTACTTCTCAAAGATAGGTGAGCTGGATCAACACAGGCTCACTATTTGGCAAATGACTAAGCTTATGTTGGCTATTAGTGAGATCCCTCAGTGAGCACAATACCAAAAAGGATGCTGGGCTGCTGAAGAACACAAAGTAAGCTAGGTAGACAATTTATAAGGCTAGTCATCTTGCCAAATAGTGAGCCCAGCAGTTTATCTTTGTAGGCTAC